GCTTAATGATTAATTAGATGGAACATTGTGGGTGTGGTGTATGAATGTTAACACCTTGTATTAATTCTTTAGTATGTTACTTGTGTGGTGTAGAAGATAATTATTTAAGAATGTAATTATGTAAGAATGTTAACACTCTGTTATAATTTTTTTAGTATATTACTTGTGTGGTGTAGAAGAGAATTATTTATGTAGAGATACTGCTTGCAAACCAATGATGGTAAGATGATGTCATGGGGTAGGACTGGATAAGTCTGACTTCTTCCTACTCCATTCAAGCATGTACTAGGTATAAGCAAATTGATATTGGATTATGTGTAAAATTATGTGTGTTGTCATATCAACAGTTTTTACATGCTTGAAAGAATAAAAAAATAAAAAAAAGATGCTTTAGGGCTTTAATTTCACATCTTTCCATTCCCATTATGTAGTTAACAGTGGGTATTTAATGTGAAACACTGAGGAAACTCAATTGTGATGGGTTTTCAACTCAGGAGACTAAATGAAAATGAGGAGCCAATCTGCCCACCCTGTTTACGACCAAGACCTGGATAAGCAGCTGTGGCTTAGGAGGTAGAGTGATCATCCCCTCACTGAAGGTCAGCCGTTCAACTCCCGTCCTCCCCAGTTCACATGTTGAAGTATCCTTGAGCAAGGCACTGAACACTAAGTTACTCCTGATGGCCAGGTCAGCGCCACCATCGGTGTGTCTGTGTGTGTGTGTGTGTGTGAAGTAGCACCACAAATGGCTGCCTTGGTTCTGTACCAGAGACAAATTCCTTAGGCATGTAACATACTTGGCCAATAAAAGTGATTATCATTATCATTAAAAATGGACAGCAGAATGAGAACATGATGGATAGTGATACAGTGGGTACGGAAAGTATTCAGACCCCCTTAAATTTTTCACTCTTTGTTATATTGCAGCCATATGCTAAAATCATTTAAGTTCATTTTTTTCCTCATTAATGTACACACAGCACCCCATATTGACAGAAAAACACAGAATTTTTGACATTTTTGCAGATTTATTAAAAAAGAAAAACTGAAATATCACATGGTCATAAGTATTCAGACCCTTCGCTGTGACACTCATATATTTAACTTAGGCTCTGTCCATTTCATCTGATCATCCCTGAGATGGTTCTACACCTTCATTTGAGTCCAGCGGTGTTTGATTATACTGATTGGACGTGATTAGGAAAGCCACACACCTGTCTATACA